TTGTTTACTACTATTCTACAAACATTTATGTCTAAAGAAGAGGAATTGCTTGTAGAACGAAATCAGCAAGTTTATTTGTTTGGGCCATCATTTTAATCTATTAGTTTATTATTTGGGGTTGTAAAGTGACATCATTTGTAACCTGTGCTATTTAAAGGTTGCACTGAGCACTAATAGCTATAATAAATAAATATTTCAGTTGCTTGTTTAAATAAAAAAATCTATTTGGTAACAATCCAGAATTTGTGTATTTATAAGACTTATTTATGCATTATAATTTTTAAAGGGTAGGAGATTCTAACTTTTCTTGATCTTTAAATTTATTTTTATCATCAACTATCAATAAATTTTCTTCTATCTAATTATCTGAGGCTATGATTTAATGAGTAAAACCCATTGAGTCATTTTAGTTGCTGCTACTGCCATAATTCTTGTTGTGAGTAGTTGACGTCTGTATACCCTCTCAGGTGTCCCAAGTAGACACCATCTGTGAATGTTTGCTGGAGCATGAGGAGCAAGTCTTGAAGGATACATTGCTGGATTCCGTGGAATGGGCTGAGGTGGTGATCAATGTGAACAATATTCTCAAGGTACAGAAATGTGGTAGATTTCAGCAAATCAAAGCCCAGAGCATGGATGTATATGAAAGTGGTTTCCATATTCCTACTCTGTATTGCCAGTAATTTATCGGCCTTTAGACATTTGTTAATTCCAAAAGTTAGAAAAATATCAGTCATATTATTAATCAGTTAATGAATATTTTGAATGTTTGCCTGTGCATATTAATAAGTTTCTATAATCCTGAGTTTCTATTCGGTAGAATAAACTATTTATTTCAAGAGGAATGTTTATATCATTGCAGAACTATTAGTGTTAATGTAACTATTAGTGTTAATGTAATGTAATAGTTAATGTAACAACTATTAGTGTTAATGTAAACTGTCAAAATAATTCTCATTTCTTTTTTCTTAATTACTAAAAACTTTGCTACTTAATAGTAATGACTAAAATGTTCCATTTAACTTTAGCTAATGGACTTTATAGTAATAGTTTTCCTACTTTGGTGACTATAGTTTTCTAAAATTGAAGTTAAATTGTAGAAGAAAACAAATTTCAAAGCAGAAAGAAGCAAAAGTAATCCTACAGACTTGTGCTGAGTATTTTTTCCTATTCATAGACTTAGATGTTTCAAACTATCTTCAGAAACCCTGCAATCCATCACTTCATGCATTTAACACATTTCATTTTTTTCCAGGATATGCTGCAGGCTGCTAGTCATTATCGCCAAAATAGAAACTCCTTGTATAGAAGAGAAGCACCACTAGAAAAAGAACCTGAGTATGTTCCGTGGACAGGTAATATACTCATTTATTAACAGTTGTTCAAAATATATTTCTAATGACCTATCATTTTTGGAAGCCGTGTTATTCTTTCAGTGTAGGTTTATAAGTGAAATGAAAAATAACTTAAGTGCCATCTCCAAAATGAGTAGTTCTTGTCACAGTCACTTTATTCCCTTGGACTTATTTATAGAACTCCCTATAATTTATTTATCTAACTGGCACTTATGCATTTCCTAGGTTTTAGCACAAATAGTTATTCACAGAAGCAGGTCCTGGGCCTAGAGGTATGGACTATATTTTGTGTTGCTTTACTTAATACAAGAAAGTAAGTAGAGTAGCATTAAAGGAGTTTGGAGGGAAGAAGAATCATGTTTACCTGGCTTTGCTGAGGAAATCTCCTTAGGGAAGACGGGGTTTGAGCAGAGCATAGACAGATATTACCTGAACCTGTTTGATTTATTTTCCCAGCAGCAATGAAATGATATACTTTTTAGGCAATTGGTTTTTCCCCTAGCCATCATAGAGCCCTTACTTAACCATGTTATTTTGTGTGATTTCACAGCAACCAGTGGTCCTGGTGGCATCCGAACAGTAATAGCACGCCAGCATGAGATTGTCCTGAAGATAGTTTATCCACAGGCAGACAGCAACCTCCGGAACATTGTGACAGAGCAGCTGGTAGCACTAATCGATTGCTTCCTGGATGGTTATGTTTCTCAGCTCAAGTCTGTGGACAGAGCCAATGATCAGGAAAGATTTATCAGTCTGGATGAGGAGTACCTACAGAAAAGATCAGACCTCTTATCTCCTCTTCGTAAGTGCATGATATTTGATGAAGGCTATGGGTCTTGAAATTTGCAGATTGGATGAAGGGGTCAACTAGGTAATGCAGTGTATTTAAGGTAGTAGCATTAATCCAACTGTAACCAAGAACTTAAAGCAAAATGAATATGTACAGCTTTCTGTATTTTTATTCAACTTTTTTTCCCAGTACTTAACCAGGTACAAGTACTATAGACAGTACTGAAGATGATTAAAAAATGAATTAACAATATGTGGATATTGCCTTCAGAGAGCTTAGCATCTCAGACCTTTACATGAATAGCTAGGCTGTGAAGCAGAGCCTGATGGGGGTTGGCCAAGGGTACGGATAAGATAACATGGCTGTTCAGCCAAGGACACGCTACATTCCAGGCTGGGGTTAGGAGGAGCTTGCTTTGCTAGTACTTGAAAGAAAGAAATAGTGTTTGGGGAGACAGTGATGACACAAGGAACTGAATTTGTGTCTTTAACGAGTTAATGTGGATTATGAACCTAAATGCCAGTAACTGGGAAAGTTTCCATTCCCTTAATGATTCTTAGTAGGAATGAAGGTAAAATTTCCAGTAATATTTTTTATTACATATTTTCAGTTTTGCTAACAGGATTTTTCCCCATCTGTTCTCCTTTCCACAGTCACACTAGGCCAGTATCAGTGGGCTGCTTCTCTAGCAGAGAAATACTGTGACTTTGATATCTTGGTTCAAATGTGTGAGCAGACTGACAACCAGAGCAGACTCCAGCGCTACATGACCCAGTTTGCTGATCAGGTGACGGGGGTTGGGTGTGTGGCCAGTGGGTCCTGTAGTAAAGTTTTGCTGTTTCAAATCTGTAATTGGGGCTTTTGGAATATGATACGATCTTTTTATAGTTAACTTTGATGAGAAGATACTAATTTGTATGTTACGTTTCTTTGTAAATTTTGGTAAACAGTTCTTTAAATGCTACTAAAAGAGTCTTGGGATTTTATTTGGGGAAATTGATTTCTAATTTATGGCAAGTTTTACTTTCAGAAATAAAACCACAGAACAACATGATCTAATTCAATCTTTGGAAAATATGTTAAAACTTTCATTTCTGTCCTTTTATTTTTTAGTTATAATAAAAGTACTTAGGTAGATACATATTGGTAAAATTTTAAAAATTTAAACAGAAGATGCTTGGGAGTATAGGATACTACTTCTAGAGAGCTTAGATTTATATATACCTAATATTCCTGTTTTCTTTGCATTTGACATCATGATTCCTATTTTTTAAAAAGTTCCTGTTATGACACTGTCTAGTGAATTTAAGTTGTTAAAGCCAGTTTATTCAGTTGATTGCTATGTAAAAGCTTAATTTTTTTTACTATATAAGTGATATCATATAAAATTCAGAAAACTCCTATAAATAAAAAAGAAAAATCGGCCGGGCGCTGTGGCTCACGCCTGTAATCCTAGCTCTTGGGAGGCCGAGGCGGGCGGATTTGCTCAAGGTCAGGAGTGTCAAAACCAGACTGAAAGCAGAGCGAGACCCGTCTTACTATAAATAGAAAGAAAATTAATTGGCCAACTGATATATATATATATATAAAATTAGCCGGGCATGGTGGCGAATCGCTGTAGTCCCAGCTACTCGGGAGCTGAGGCAGAAGGATCACTCAAGCCCAGGAGTTTGAGGTTGCTGTGAGCTAGGCTGACGCCACGGCACTCACTCTACTGGACAACAAGTGAGACTCTGTCTCAAAAAAAAAAAAAAAAAAAAAGAAAAATCACTCATAATTTTACCACCCAGAGAGAGCCCTTTTAAACATTTGGTTTATATTCTTCCACTCTTTCTACTCTATGTATTATTATTTTTTCTTATAAAAATTATTTTACTTTTTTTTTATCCCGCCATTAGAGAAAGAAATGCGGTGTCTACTCTATATACTCTTATAATAAAATAAGCATTATACTCTTATAATACTCTCTTATACTCTTATAATATTTTATATTATATCTGTTATACTTATATAGAGTATATTATATACTCTCTACATATAGAGTATATAATATATAGAGTATAATATATAGAGTATATACATTATACTCTTATAATAAGCGGACATGTTTTGTCAACTGCTTTTTTCACTTAATACATAGCAAACATTTGTCCATATCATTAAATATTCTACAACAGCATTTATTTTTTAATTTTTTTTTTTAAGACAGAGTCTCACTCTGTTGCCCAGGCTAGAGTGCCGTGGCGTCACCTGAGCTCACAACAATCTCAAACTCCTGGGCTCAAGCAATCCTTCTGCCTCAGCCTGCCTAGAAGCTAGGACTACAGGCATACACCACCATGCCCAGCTAATTTTTTCTATATATTTTTAGTTGGCCAATTAATTTCTTTCTATTTTTAGTAGAGATAGGGTCTCGTTCCTGCTCAGAGCTGGTTTCGAACTCCTGAACTTCTGACCTTGAAGCGATCCTCCTGCATTGGCCTCCCAGAGTGCTAGGATTATGGCAGTGAGGCAGTGAGCCACCTAGCCCAGCAATACAGATGGAAATTGATGTTATTTTTTGCCTGGGAGTGTTTTCTTCTTTCTCTTTTAGGCAATTTAGGTGAGAGGCAGATCACTCTGTTTATCAGGAATGGAACTGGGTGAGGGCTTGGTCTTGGCTTTTATTACATTCATTTCATTTCTGGTTTCAAAAGTCTTTTGGGGAGACACTTGTTTTCATAGCAGGATTCCCATTTTAGTGGAAGTACCTCTTAACCACTGTAACTATAGGACATTTTAGTCTTCCTTTCCACCTCAACCTCCACACCACTCTAACACTCAGCAAACACCCTAGGAGCAAGCTGGCTGGGTATTTGGACCTTTCTAGGTTCTGATTTATTATGCCAGCCCAGGTGGCCAGCTGGCACAGAATTCTAGCCCTGAGCCTCTCATTCTGGAATGTTCTAGTCTTGGTGTTGTCCAGTGAAACTTTCTGTCATAATGGAGATGATGTTTGTATACATTGTCCAAAATGGGAGCCACTGGCCACATATGACTGTTGAGCTCCTGAAATGTGACTAGCGTTCCTGAGAAACTGACTTTTTAATTTTAATTTAATTTTTTAAATTTAAGTTTAAACAGCTATGTGTGGCCATTGGCTACCACATTGGCCAGCACATATCTAGGTTCTGCCATTAACTGCCTTGGTGATCCTGATCAGGGTACCCTTTCTGAATCTGAATTTAGTTGTTTGTCAAATTAGTGATCCTACAATACAGGAAGTTATTGCTTAAAATAGGATTTCTATTTTAGATGCCTATTATATTATCAGAAATTGCATTTTTAAAACTATGCCATTAAATATTAATGGATTCTTGGCTCTATCATTTGTAGAATTTTTCAGATTTTCTCTTCCGTTGGTATCTGGAGAAGGGAAAGCGAGGCAAGTTGCTCTCTCAGCCCATTTCTCAGCATGGACAGTTGGCGAATTTTTTGCAAGCTCATGAACATCTCAGTTGGTTACATGAAATTAATAGCCAAGAACTAGAAAAGGTAAGAAGAATTCTGTTGTATGGAGCAGATGAATACAATTTATTTAGATAATTTTAGTTAGTTTAATTTTTAGTAATTAAAGTACTACTGATAGCCACAGACCTGATAAGAGAGGTTACTATACAAAATATATAAGGAACTCAGCTCAGTAGCAAGAAAACAAATACCCTGATTAAAAAATGGGCAAAAGACCCAAAGAGACAGACATACAAATTGCCAACAAGTATATGAAAAAAATGCTCAACATCACTGATCATTAGAGAAATGCAAATTAAAACCATAATGAAATATCACCTTACACCTGTTGGAATGGTTGTTATCAGAAAGATGAAAGATAACAAATGTTAGAGAGCCTATAGAGAAAAGAGAACCTTGGCACACTGTTGATGGGAATGTAAATTATTACAGCCATGTGGCAAACTGTGTGTAGGTTCCTCAAAAAATTAAAAATAGCATCATCATATGATCCAGCAATCCCACTTCCCGGTATATATACAAAGGATTTGAAATCAATATGTCAAAGAGATAATCTGTACTCCCATGTTCATTGCAGCATTAGTCACAACAAACAAGTTGTGGAATCAACCTATATGTCCATCAACATGAATGGATAAAGAAAATGTGGCATATATAATATACAATGGAATAATATTCAGTTTGGTTTTTTTTTTTTTTTTTGAGTCAGAGTCTCACTCTGTTGCCCAAACTAGAGTGCTGTGGCATCAGCCTAGCTCACAGCAACCTCAAACTCCTGGGCTCAAGCGATCCTCCTGCCTCAGCCTTCTGAGTAGCTGGGACTATAGGCATGTGCCACCATGCCCGGCTAATTTTTTCTATATATTTTTTTTAGTTGGCCAATTAATTTCTTTCTATTTTTAGTAGAAATGGGGTCTCACTCTTGCTCCCGGTTGGTTTCGAACTCCTGAGCTTGAGCCATCCTCCCACCTCGGCCTCCCAGAGTGCTAGGATTACAGGTGTGAGCCACCACGCCCAGCCAATATTCAGTTTTTAAAAGAAGGAAATTCTGTCCTTTATAACAACATGGATGAGGCTGGAAGACATTATACCAAGTGAAAATAAGAAAAGCACAGAGAAGGACAAATCCCACATCATCTCACTTACATGTTGAATCTAAAGCAATTGAACTCATAGAAGCAGAGAGTAGAATGGTGGTTATTAGAGGTTGGAAGGTGAGGGGAATGGAGAGATGTTGGTCAAAAGCTACAAAGTTTCCGTTAGACGGGAGGACGTTTTTTGAGATGCATTGCACAACATGGTGACTAAAGTTAATAATAGTGTATTGTATATTTCAGAATAACTAATAAGAGTAAATTTCAAATATTCTCATCACAAAAAGAATAAGTATTTGAGGTGCTGGGTATGTTGATTAGCTTGATTTAATTACTGCACATGGTATGCATATATTATAACATCACTTTGTACCCATAAATATATATAATTATAATTTGTCAATTTACAATGAAAAAATTAAAATTTTTTATGAAACACTAAAAGATTTAAAATGTATACTTCCTATTCTCTCACATAATTTTTTTTTTTTTCTTTTTTGAGACAGAGTCTCATTCTGTTGCCACGGCTTGAGTGCTATGGTATCAGTCTAGCTCACAGCCACCTCAAATCCCTGGGCTCAAACAATCTTTCTGCCTCAGCCTCCTGAGTAGCTTGGGACTACAGGCATGCGCCACTATACCTGGCTATTTTTTATGTATATTTTTAGTTGGCCAATTAATTTGTTTCTATTTATAGTAGAGATGGGGTATCACTCTTGCTCAGGCTGGTTCGAACTCCTGACCTCTAGCGATCCGCCCGCCTCGGCCTCCCAGAGTGGTAGGATGACAGGCGTGAGCCACCACGCCCAACCCTCTCACATAATGGTGGTTATGTGAGAATGCTTTACTTAAAGCATTCTTCTTGATTTTTGATAGTATTGCCATTATTTCTAATATCAAAAAATATACACTCCATTGTGATTTGTCTATTATATTAAAATCATGAAAATTTTGCTAACGTGTATATAATGGTCATCAGCCTCTTTTGGTAATCAGTATGTTCTTGTAATATAAATATATTATGAGTAAAGGCAGCACACAAATTAATTTTAAAAGTTTATTCTTGATAGCATGTTCATTTGAATATGTAATTGTTTTAGAGCAGATGTTTTGTACGTCTCTTTTCCCAGTAATTAGTGTGGGTGGTAGATATTTTGGTGTGTAATTAGTCTCAGTGTATGGCAGTGATCAGTTTATAGGTTTGCTAACTATCAACTTGTCTTTTGTATGGCTTAGGGGGAAAACAATTTGGGATGTATTAATGCTTAACTTTTATATCAGCTTGAACTGGTACCCAGGATCTTATGGGTTTTCATATTTTGTTACAGGCTCACGCAACACTTCTGGGTTTGGCAAACATGGAAACTCGTTACTTTGCAAAGAAAAAAACCCTTCTTGGCTTGAGTAAATTGGCTGCTTTAGCTTCAGACTTTTCAGAGGATGTACTGCAAGAAAAAATTGAAGGTAAAAGAAAGAATTTGATTAAGAAGATATACAAATTAGTCATGCTATCAATTAATTCTTATGATGTGTTCTTATTGTCAGTTAACAGGATCTGTTAAAAACAGGACCTTTGTCTACTTTAAGAGGAATACTTTTTATCAATGTCCATGTATTTATTTATTCTCAACAACTGAATAGATAAATTAATGTTCATTTATAGTTACTCAATTACATACTTGGAATTCTTTTTTTTGAGAGAAAAATTATTTGTATTAAATAAGAATTCCTAAAGAATAGATTCAGGTGATTTTGAACTCAGAACTCTGGTTATACACCCTTAGAGATGCATATTCTAAGGGCAAAAGAACACAAAGAAACCTTGACCTTTACACAGTGGGGTTTTTATAGGTAGTGGCATTGGTGCAGGAATTCTGAAACTATTTTGTGTATGTTGTAGTTTGAGAAAATGATTAAATATAGTACAGTCAGCCTCCATATCCACAGGTTCCACATGCAGGTTCAGCCAAACACAGATTGAATTATTTGGCGGTGAGGGGGAAACACAATAAAAAATAATAATACAACAATAAGAATAATGCAAATTTAAAAATCAATACATTATAACTATTTACATTGTATTAGGTACTACAAATAATGTAGAGATGATTTAAAGAATATGTGAGGATGTGTGTGTTATTTATTTGCAAATACGTCATTTTTTAGAAGGGACTTGAGTATTTTGGTATCTTTGGAGGTCCTGTAATCAGTCATCTGTGGATACCAAGGGACAACTGTTACTATCTTTGAGAACCAAGGGAGAGGGAGATACAAATGTAGAAAGAAGGTGAGAAAGAATTCTGTATTATTGCATTTGAATTGGAGATATCAGATAGAATCTGATTTTTTAAAAAAATATATTTTCTTGTTTGAAGTGATGAATATGCTAATTACTCTGATATGATCATTACACAATGTATACACATATTGAAACATCACATTGTACCCCATAAATACATATAATATTATGTGTCAACTAAAAAATGTATGCATTAGCCGGGCGCGGTGGCTCACGCCTGTAATCCTAGCACTTTGGGAGGCCGAGGCGGGCGGATCGCTCAAGGTCAGGAGTTCGAAACCAGCCTGAGCGAGACCCCGTCTCTACCAAAAATAGAAAGAAATTAATTGACCAACTAAAAA